GTTTCTAAAAAGAAACCGAGGCAAGGCTTTGCTTTAGCCATGTTGTTAACGAGCAGTTGGGACTATTTTACCAGTTTTGAATGACAAGAGAATCACTGATTACCGGCGAGACTGACTGTTAACGGTGATTTAAATGTATTGACGAAGAATCACAACCAATACCTGACACAATTAACATGACCAAGGTTTGACCGCACACTTAAACGACAATAGACCGAACTTCTATCAGTCTTAAAAAAACTCGCAAACATAAGATTAAATAGTGTGGTACAAACTAATCTGGTTTTGTTGATAATGCGATTCAACTAAATAAGAAGTACACGTTTTTTAACAAGGCCCACTTTAATAACAGTTAAGTAACTGAAACGTTTACTCTAGGGTCTCAATTGGGTTAACCATTAACCGTAAAACGGCCAAAATATTCAACCGTTGGGCTTTGGAATTGACGAATTTTAACCGTTAGAGGCAAAAAAATTGAACGAAAAACAGTTTCTGTTGACAACAATGGAATGGGGTCGGCAGTCAGTTGGCTAAAAACTTTAACCGTTAACCGTAAAAGCAGTTATTCCATTAAGACCCTCTTGCTCGTTCTAAATATTGCTAATTATTGTTATTATTGTCATTAATATTACAAGCTTTTGTGTCACTCAGTTTTCCTCTAAAGTTACTAATTTCATAATAAATCTAATTTTTCTGCCTCCCTCTTAAAGCTTGATGCCTTTCTTGATTTCTTTTCACATTATCTGATTTTATGCGGTACTTCTGTGAGCGGAGACAACAAGGAATTGAATCCGTTACATACAGGCGTACATTGTTAACTTGGAAAACTCCTTGTAGAAGACTTCAATAGTTAGACGAAATGCGTTGGAAGATAAAGAAGTTTTACAACTACTGCTCACATAGGGCTGCTCACTAGTTTAAATGCTTTTTTTTAACTCAAAAGTTTCTCTCCCACCTCGACCTCCTATGCTAATGTTACCTGTCTTAAGTTCTTTTCAATTTACTTGATTTTAGAAATTTCTGTTGACTCCAAGGATGCAACAGGCAGAACGCCCCTAATGATTGCTGCTGGGAATGGCAACGTTCCAGCGGTGAAGGGTCTGATTAAGAGAGGAGCAGATCCGTCCCTGATGGACAACCACGGATGGAGGTCGTTACATTTTGCTGCACAATGTGGTGACCCTCATATAATTTATCTTATCCTTACTCACGCGTCGGACATTGAGTCAAAAGCCGCTAACGGTGCTACTCCTCTAATCAGTGCCGTGTGTAATGGCAAGCTGCAAGGTGTAAAGTATCTCCTTGAGAGGGGAGCCAATCCTTTGACTAAGGATAATAACGGCCTGGATTCTTTACATCATGCCTCATCACGTGGGTCAGACGTTCTTGACTTAGTGCTGAGTCATGTAGCTAACGGTGAGACAACAACACCATTCATTCAGCTTGGGTGGGCAAAAATAATCTTATTTTGTCTCCTGGAGTCGCAAGGAAGAATTACAATGAGGAGTATGTACAGCTGTTTCAAGAAAGCTTGTCGGAAAAAAGTGTATAGATTTACTTGACAACTCCGAATCGTATTGTGTTTTGTGGGTAGTTGTTAGGTGACGGTTCCCTGACCTTGCGATTTCTGGGAAATTTGAGAAAACGTCACTATAATAACATCGAGCAGTATTTGACCGCTCACTTATACAACAATTCAACGACCTTCCATCAGTCTTTGAAAAAAATCGCAAACATAAGATTGAAACGTGTGGTACAAACTAATCTCGATTTATTGCCGATAATGCAATTGAACTAAATAAAAAATATATGTTTTAACAACTCCCATTTTGCAAACAGTTAAGTAACTGAGACGTTCACTTTAGGATCCCGATCGCGTTAACCATTGACCCTAAAGCGGCCGAAACATTCAACTGTTAGGCTTTAGAATTGACAAATTCTAACCATTAGTCGTAAAAAACGTTAAACGAAAAAACGCTTTCTGGTGAAAACGATGTAATGGTGTTGGCCGTCAGTTGGCTAAAAATTTTAACCGTTAGCCGTAAAAGCAGTTATCCCACTAAGACCCTTTTACTCGTTCTAAATCTTCTTAATTAGTATTATTATTGTATTTTATCTTAGAGGCTTTTGTGTCAG